TATAATGCATATAGCATATAAAATATATGTGTTAACTAAGAGTGTGTGTGATCAGTTAGGTTCTAGGTCAACAGAAGGCTTTGATTAAGTTTCTAGGCAGTCAAAAGTTATACACAGATTTTTGACAGTGCAGGGTTTGATGCTTATCACCCCCACATTGTTTTAAGGGTTAACTATAATTTGAATTCCCCAAAGAGAGAATGAGACAGAGGTAAATTCTGAAGGGATAATGATAGAATTTATATTGATAGAATTTTTACTGATAAAAGTGTCTCAAATTGATAAAACACTATACATCATAAGCAATATATACAAAAGTACCGTCCTAGGTACATTATTATGAAATCAAAGAAGCTCACAAAAAAATGCTAAAAACAGATTATCTTTAAAGGAGCAACAATAAGGTAACTGACTTCTCAACAGAAATGATGGTGATCGACAGACAGTGGAATAGTTTCAGAGTGCTGAAAGAAAGCTGTCAACTTAGAATTCTGTGCCCAGTAGAATATCTGTCAGGAAGGAATGCCAAATAAGTACATTTTCAGATGAAAAGAAACTGATAAACTGATCCCTGGAGAAATTAATGTAAAAATTCCAAAAAGGTCTTCCTTCAAAAGTAGAGAAATAACTGTCTTGGTTACTTTTCTCTCATTGCTGGGACAAAATACCTGACACGCAAAATTAAGGAAGGAAAGGTTTATTTCGCTTACAGTTTGTGTAGGTTTTAGTCTGTACTTGGTAGGTTACAAGGCAGAGTGGCACATAGCAGAGAGCTACAGCTCATGGGGGCAGAACACAGCAGAATCAACAAATAGAAAAGGGAGGAATGGCCAGAAGCAGCCTCTTCCTCTCCCTTACATATGCAAACTATCCACCCCAGGACGGGTGCAACTCTCACACCCATAATCAATCAAACTCTAAAAGCCTGCCCCATGACTGCATGAGGCTTTGGGGTGACACACAGACACAAACAATAACAATAACCCATGGTTAAAGAAAGGATAAACATGAGAGAAAGCCTCATGAATATCAAGTATTGTAAAACAGTAATAATGTCTTTAAAATATCTACTCAGCATTAAAATAGTAACCAGCAATACCTTGAATTTAGGAGGAAAAAAGGCAAATGGGTAAAACAGATTTAGGTTCTGGCATTGCCCAAAGGAAATGGAATACTAATTTATATTGTAGTTTGGTAATTCAAAGATCCATTTTATAATTTCTAGGATGGATACTGTGTGTAAAGTAAAAGATCATATCACTGCCAAGCTAATGAGGTAGGAAACTAGGGTAATGAAAAGTAATCCAAAGAAAGCAAGAAAGGAGAGGGAAAAAAAAGTTTTAAGCCAGGGCAAATATTAAAATAGTAGATAGACTCAGCTACATTAATTACATTACATTTTAATGTGCTATATGGTATAATTATGAGGTGGAAATTTATCAGAGGAAAATGAATTTTTAAAAACCCAACTATATAGTTCTAAATGGAGAAAGTCTGAAAACATAAGAATACAGAATGAGTGAAAATTAAAAAAAACAAAGTAAATATACTATGCAAATGCTGATGAAAAGAAAGTTGGTAATATGAGACATAGTAGATTCAATGCAAAACAGATTATTACAACTAAAAGAGACATTACATAATAATTAAAAATTCAGTTTGCCCAAAAGATGTGACAATTTTCTATTTGTAAACACACAATGACTAAATCTCAGAAAGATGTGATAGCTCTGAATGGTAAAATAGACATATCCCCAGTGAAAGTAGAAAATATGCACAGATTGCTCTTGGTAATTGAAATTTCAACTACAAAAGAATTAGTAAGAATATGTAAAATGTGAACAATGCAGTCTGAAAAGTCAAGTCTATTTCGGCACATATATAGGGCACTAGTATCCAATATCTTCATAATACACATTCTTTTTAATTACACGTAAAACATTTACAGAATCAGCCAATGCAAAAAGCACCTCTTAGAAATTTTTAAATGATTGAAATTACTCAGATTATGTTCGCTAACGACAGTAGAAATTATGTTAGATAACATAACGATCACAAAAAAAACTCAGGTATTTCTAAGTTAAGCGGTCTAGTTCTAAATATTATTCATAGATCAAGGAGTTCACAATGAAAATTAGAAAATATTTTGAACTGATTAAAAGTTAAAATAATAAAGAAACTTGTGGGCTGCAGTGTAGGGCCATTCTTAGAGGACAGCCCTGAGAGCTTGTTTGGAGGTTCCAGCAAAGGGGGAAACGCGCCTCCTGTGGGGGGGGGGGGATCCTCTTCCACAGAGTGTGCAGCTTCGGGAGGGATGGACATGGAGCGGGGAGGGAGGAAAGGGACACCACCTAGCCAGCCAGGTCAGCCAGCTCACCCTGGCTGTCAGTAGGGGGACAGATGTCACAGCCAAGTCACCCTGACATCCTCACATGTATATAATCTTAGGTATATACATTTACAAACAGAAAGTCTAAGATAATCAGTGATATCTATGAATTTACTGGAGAGATTAGAAAACGGTAGCAAACTAAACCACAAAATATAAAATAAATGTGGCAAGAAAAACGTGGGCAAGAGGTAGACATTAAGAAGAAAAGGGTTAGACCCACCCTAGTAGCTTCACATACTAAAACTACTTTGAAGATTGCAAATTTCAGGAAAGCCTGGACAATTTAGCAAGATCGTCTCAAAACAAAAACAAAAGCAAAAGAGCAGGCTGTGGTTTGGGACATAGCTCAGTGGCAGCTTCCCTAACCTGCACAAGACACTGAGTTTGGTCCCCAAGACTCCAAAGAAATAATAATAATAATAATCATGATAATGGGACCAGGGGTTTAGCTCAGTGGTGCAGGGCCTGCCTGGCAAGCATGAGGTCCTGAGTTCAGTTCCAAAAATAATGATAGTAATTATCATTAAAATCATGATAAAGATAATAAAGCAAAAATAAACTATAGGTAGCCCTTGCTTTGCATGATAGTGTACAGCTATAAAAGCAATCATAAAGGTTGAATCTATACAGAGTAATCTTAATAATCAATGCAAGAGGGTTATTTCTATGACTTACCTTTAACAGCTTTTGTCAAAACACTAAAACTGGTATTACTGAAGGTTATAGCTTTTTTTAAAAAGAGATAAAATATTTTAACTTCTAATATTTGTAATATTTTAAATAATAATGTACTAAATGTTAATTTTATTTTTCAATTTCATTTTACTATCAATTTAAAATTATTAAAATTGATAGATTCATAACTCAGGAAAATTAGGAAATATTATGTCATTATTAAAAACTTTACAATAGAATGCATTTTGCTGTGTTTTGTTTTGTTTTGTGGTGCTGGAGATTGAACACAGGGCCTAACACCTGCTATGAAAGGACTGTATCACTGAGCTACATTCTCAGCTCTTATATGTTTTAATAAAATAGCTAAAAGGCAGATTATAATATATTGGCAATATAATATATTTGTCTATTTTTAGCAGAAAGTAAAAATTCTGCTAGAAAATACCTCACAGTATTAAATGGATTTTTTCCCTGTGACTTGGCATGTCTTTTCTAAAATCTTTCTATATTTCTGTACTGGTCATTTTTCTCTACTAAATATAACTTTATATGAAAAATACAAATATTTTTCAAATTCTGTTCAATATTTAAAACTAAAAACATCATTGATATTTCTCTATATCTTTAGAAAATGATTAGCAAATTCTTTCTTTTCCTTAGAAAGTAACTTTTATTGTTTCCTAAATTATTTTCTTAGTTTTGTTATATTTGATGAACTTTAGTTTTGATAAATATATGTATTCTAAAAATTAAGATTGGCATTTTCTACTTTAAAAAGAGATTTGTGGTGTCTGTAGGTAATTTCCCTCTAAATGTTTTAGATATACGGGTGTAATTTTCTTTGTAATTTCTCACCTTGAAGTTTGTTTTCTGTAAGGAATATTTTCTGCTTATATTAGATACATGTTTTGAAGTCTTTTCAAGATAGTAAAACTTTCTTCCTTTAGGTTGGTATCATTTAGATTAAAACAGATGTCTTTTAAGTTATGTCTTCTGTTCTTTAGATGGATGGATGGATGGATGGATAGATAGATGGATAGATAGATGGATAGATAGATAATGATACATAGATAGATAGATAGATGTTTTAAAGGTTGGAATATCTGTAATTTGATGTTAAAATTAAAGATTTTCAACCCTGTATTTTCAGCCCTGATTACAGGTACATGCCTGTAATCCCAGTACTTGGGAGGCTGAGGCAGGAGGATCACTGTGAGTTGGAGGCCAACCTGGACTACACAGTGTGTTCAAAGCCAGGCTAGAATATACAGTGAGATCCTGTCTCAAAAGCACAAAAAAAACAAACAAAAAAAAGAGTTTTCAGAATTATAGTGAGGATATATAAAGATGTGTTACAAAAAAGTTTCTAGCAATCTTGGTTGTATACCCTGCAACCATTTTATTCTACTCTGTTTGTAACTGAAGCTACCTAATAATTCAAATGTGTTTTATGAAACATGGTAAAGAAAACAACAAATTCTACGTGTTATCATTTTTGTTCAGTTGACTGACTGAAACTGGCACTTTAAACTTTTTCTCAATAGCTTACTCTAAGCTATAACATCTAAATTTTACCTTTTGCAAAAATTAAAATCTCTGTAAGACATACTGACCTCTGCTTGAATTAATTATTATCAATTTTCTTTTGGTACCAGAAATCAAACTCAGGACCTTGCCCTTGCAAGGCAGGCACTTGTGCCACTGAGCTATATCCCTGGTCCTAAGTATTATCAATTTAATGCATTTGAAATTGTTCACCTTTGTGTTCACATAACAGTATTTAAGGGTTATTAAACACTTCTGATTTTTTCCCAAAGTCTACTTAAAAAGGTTTTCATGTAAAGAATTCTTTTTGAAACACTATTCTTTAATTGACCCCCGAACAGAAATTCCTGTTGCTAAAATGCGTTTGTTCTTCTTGTTTGTCCCAAAGGTTACACCATGAGTTGAAAGATGCTGTTGAAAAGCAATTGGAGGCCCTTCCATTTAGTACAGAGATAGGAAATGATGCAGTTACAGATGATGAAACAGTCAGGAACCTTCAAGAACAGCTGCGACTAGCCAATCAAGTAAGTGACGTATTTTTTAAAATACATACCTGTCTTAGTTACTTTTCTCATTGCTGAGACAAAATACCTGACACCCACGATTAAAGGAGGAAAGGTTTATTTAGCTCACAGTCTGTAGAGGTTTCAGTTCGTAATCGGCTGGCCCCGAGGCAGGGTGGCTTCACAGAGGAGAGCAATTCATGGCAGGCAAAAGATAGCAAAAGCAACAAGGGAAAGATTATGGGAGAGGACAAGCCTCTGTGTATCCCCTTTTTTAAAATCCAGACTGCGGGGATGAGGGCAGTGCCAATCCAGTCAACGGACTGATCCAGCAATTGCACACACTTAATCCCAGCATCCTGAATCCCAGCATCTTGAATCAGTCACAAACTCTAGATTCAGCCACCTCTGAAAAAGTCCCATCTAAAAGTGCATGAGGATTTGGGGGACATCTAGTCACAAACCATAACAATGCTGAACTTACATCTTTTTAAAAAAAAAATCTATGTTCATCATTATATGTGAATGACAACAGAATAATAAAATTGTCACCATTTGATGATCTCCTATAATGTATAAAAATTATAAATAAAACCCTATCAAAATACTCTCAGTATTATAGTTAACAAATACACTTTTTAATTGCATTGTAAAGCTTTTGATTTGATTTTTTCCTATAAGAAGGTTTTACAGTCGAAAAATTTAAAAAAAAAAAATCAATTATCCTACTTCCCTCCTTTAAAATTTTTAAATTCTTTCTGTTTTCTATTATATTTTCTTCCATTTTCAAATATTATGGTATATTTCTCAAAAATTATACTTCTTGTAGAAATACACTCATTTTCCTGTTTTTCTTCCCTCATAGTGAGTGAAATCTTTGGGAAGGTACAGTATGTTCTATATATCCTGTTTTTTAATGCTATAATTTTTGTGAATTTATACATAAGAGAATTTTACTTTACACACAAGTATGTCATATTTTGTGCAGATTTGAATCTCCAATCCGCTTTCTGTGAGTGTAGAAAAAAACTTCCTTCATGCTTCAGTTTCTTCATTTATAAATGGAGTTAGATATTCTGAGTTACTTACCATTTTGATTTTATAATTATCAGTGAAGAGTCATACTTACTTGGAACTCTGGGTTTGGAATTCTTTACTTGTAGGTAAATCATTTTAGTTTTTGTTTGTTTGTTTGTTTGTTTGTTTTCTGGTACTGGGACTCGAACTCATGACCTTGCACTTGCCAGGCAGGCGCTGTGCCACTGAGCTAAATCCCCAGGCCCTATGTTAGGTAAATCAAAGAGGATGCTGGGCACAGTAGCAAATGCCTGTAATCCCAGAACTCTGGGAAGCAGAGGCAGGAAGATTGCAAGTTCAAGCCCAGCCTGGACAATTTAATGACTTAGGGGTATTCTACCCCAAAATAAAGAGTATAGAAAGTACTAGGCATGTAGCTCAATGCCAAGACCCTTGGTTCAATCCCCAGCACTGCAAAACAAAAACAAGCAAAAAAACCCTGTATTCATCTTGATAAGATATATTTACATTGAATCCTTGAAATGTATGAATAGAAGTAAATAAAAATTTTGACTTTATTACAAGATACTAAATTATGACTCAAAAGGTATGGCACAATGTGTATTTCTTATTACGTCCTAAAATTTTAAGAGATCTATAAAAAACAATGTCAAAAAAATATATATGAAAAACAATGTCAAATGTTACTTCTGCTTACACATACCTATTTTTATATTACTTTATTCTTAATGGTCTGATAAAATATATAGTTATATTGTTATTCATTTTTGTATTAAAGGACCTTTATGTGATGTATAAAAACTAGATGAAAAAATTAAAGCAAAAAAAAGAAGAGGGGCCAGGGATGTAGCTCAGCGGCACAGCTCCTGCCTGACAAGCGCAAGGTCATGAGTTCAATTCCTGGTACCAAAAAAAAAAAAGGAAAAACTAGATGAATCCAACTAGAAAGATAAAAGTTAAATTAATACAACTTAAAGTTGATATTGAGAAAAAGATTTGTTTGTGTATGATTCTTTTTCAGAATACCATTGGTCCTCCATATCTATGGGTTCCATATCTGTGGATCAAACCAACCATGGTCCCAAAACATGTGGGAGGGAAATTACATATGTACCGAACATGTGCAGACTTCTGTCATTATTCCCTAAACAATGAAATTTATCTTGTATCTGGTATTAAGATCAATCTACAGATGCTTGGTTTCAAGTATGTGAGAGGATGCACATAGATTATGTCCGAATACTTCACCATTTTATGTGAGGGACTTGTCCACAGATTCTGGCATCCTGTGGTCTCAGACTCACTTATCCTGTGGTTACGCTAAGAAGGGCTGTAAAAAGCATAGTGCTTGACTGTCAATTCAAATATCTTCATTCATTCCACAGATATTTATTAAACACTAGTGTATGGTAGACACTGTGCTAAACATTGATGATATAGTGGGTAGTGTTGGTTCTGGGTCTAAAGAAACATACCAACTTTTGGGAGAGGTATAACAAGGTCATGAAATATTGAATTCTGGTCATATTTCTTGTGTGGTCTTTATTTCACTTTCCAGCTCCCTAAGCGTGGAAAACTTCTTTGTGCGTCTCCCTCATTTACATATGACAATCAAAAAAAATTTTCTCTTACGGAGTTCCTATGGTAATTAAGTTAGAAATCCTCACAGAGCATTCAGTAGAACACTGAGCACATATGTAAAGTTAATAAGTTTGTTATATTTTTATCATCATCATTGTCACCATTACTGAACAGCAAGACAGGCAAGTAACACAATTGCATGTGTTGTGTAGAGTGACTGTGTTGCTTAAGGAGCTGATAGCAGGTGTAAATTATTAAGTCCTTAACTTAATTTGGTTTCGAGTATTTGTTCTATTACAGTAGTGTGATTTGTAAAAATCTTTCTAGAAGACAGTTTGACCCTGAGAGCCTTAGAAATGTTCAAAGCCTTTGGCCAAGAAGTATTCATAAACTCTGACCAATTAGATAATGATATTTTATAGATTGTAGGAGTTTATTCTAAGGAATTGAATATAAAATTTATAAATAAATGTTTATATAATATAATAATGAAAAATTGAAAATAGCTTAAAACAAAAAATATAAAAACCAATTAAATTGTGGTTGGCCCCCAAACGAAATTCATACCACTCAAAAAATGATACATGGTCTTAGCATAGTAGTGAAACACAGATTACTGCACACACCCACATGCAGAAGTCTGAGATAAGTAGTCTGATTAGAAATTTGCATTTCTAACAGTTCTGAGATGATGTTGATGATACTGGTTCTTGGAAAGTTGTTAAGAGAATCTACATGTTGTAAGTACTTGTGCTGGTGATTGTTTTCAGTAGGCAGCTTTAAGAAACAGTGAGATCTTTGAAGTATGAGGCATTTCTATGATGAATCGTTAGGAAAATTAAGTCATAAGGAAATGAAGTGAATTATTTAGCCAGGAATTAGTGATCCAATCCAAGTCTTCAGGCTGCAAATTCTTTGTTTGTCTACAAATTTCAAAACTATGTAAGTTTTAGGCAAAACTAATTATGGTGTTAGAAGACAGGGTAGTAGCTATTTGCAGGGAGAGTATAGTAACTGGAAGAGCTCACAAGAAGAGCATGTGTCTTCTAGGTGATAATGGTCTCTCTTTAACTATGTCTGGTTGCAAGGAATTATTTACTTTATAAAAACTGATGATTTGTGTGTTTTCAGAATGCCTGTTATATTTCAGTAAATATTTCATAGAAATATACTGTATATTCTAAATATATACTCATCATGTTCTAAAAATGAATATCTTCATTACACTAAACTAAGAGGATGGCTTACTTTTGACCTAGGATTTGAAAGCTTAGATTTTAGATGCAAAGAGGTAAAGATTTCTTCCTGATTCAGTTAGCAATTTGTTGAGGAACCTGAGGCAAGTTGCCTGAACCTTAGTCGCACTTCTTTAGATGATAAGAGTTTCTGTGTCTTAGATTTGCATTTCTCAGCAGTTTTCGGTTTCAGGACCCCTCTTTAGGATGCTTTAAAATTATTGAAGGCCCTAAAGAACCTTCTATTTTTGTGTGTTATATCTACCAATATTTTTGTATTATAAGTTAACACAGAACCGAAGCATAAACACACATTCTATTAGCCTGAGAACAATGATGACATCACATAAAATTTGGAAAATTCTACTATGTGAGAATGAGAATGGAAGAAGCAAATAATGTCTTCATAGTATTACAAAAATAATTGTGACCTCAAGATCGCCTGAAGAGGTTTGGGGAACTATAAGGCTTCCCATACCACACTTTGATGATGCCCTATTTAAAAAAATAGATAAGGACTTGAAAAAATTCTCATTATACAATGCCAGGTAAAAGTAGTACAGTGCAAACATACATTATGTCATTTCTATTGTTTAAAAGTAAAAAGATTCTACCACAAATCACATTTGTAAACATGAATAGAATCAACATTTATAAAAATGATTGTATCTAGATGTCAGCAATATTTATTATCAGGTGTTAAACTTATAAGTGGTTATTATTATCCCCTCTGATTTTCGATGTTGTCCTCATTTTCCACAGTAAACACGTAGTACTTTTATAGTCAGGGAAAAAAAAAATGCTTTTCCAGTGAAATTTTTCTTCTTCAATAATTTCTAAAGTTTATGCTTTCTTGTAGAACAGTAGAGTTCTCTACTAAGGCATTTAATTTTATGACATCTGAATAAAAAGAAAATTGCAAAGAAAGAAAATTTTTATGTTTACATTTATTCTCTAAATTATTATTAAATCAATTTAAAATCACCATAAATGTTACAATAATATTACAATCTTATGCTGCCTAAGGACATTTCAGTCAAAATGTAACTGCGTGCACAATGGTGGTCCATAGTATTGATTGCCTGTGAGGATGTAGCCATTTTGGCTTTGATAAGTATACCCTGTGGTGCTCACACAGCAGTGAAATTGCCTAGCAGAGCATATCTCAATACATATACATTCCTGTCATGAAACAGTGCTTGACTGTACCATCTTTGCACATACTCTATTTTATAACTGTACAAGACCTCATTTGTAAAAGAAATGATCCATTTGCACTATTTAATAAGTAGCCTGCTAATAATTTGAGTTGTCATGTTTTTGTTTGGTAGGAAAAGACTCAGGCTGTGGAACTCTGGCAGAGTGTTTCTCAGGAGCTGAACAGACTACAGAAACTTTACCAGGAACATATGACTGAGGCCCAGATTCATGTATTTGAAAGCCAGAAACAAAAGGTAATTTTAGACATTTTAATAATTATAACTAAAAGTAGGTAATCTTGGAGTTCATATTTTCTTGTATATCAGTAAGAAATTGCATTCTGAAGAAACTGCTTTGGAGAAAAATACCTAAATCTCTTTTGTGTGTGTGTTTGCAGTACATGCATTTACAGTCATCTTAGAAAGTTGGTATATGTACAAGATACAGTTTGTTTCTGGTTTTCTTTTCCCCTTGCCTTCCCACTTCCTCCTTCCTCCTCTAATTCCCCTTCTCCCTTTTCCATTCTTGTTGATATTATTAATCATAGTTCATTTTGACGGCATAGGATGTCCACAATTATTGAGGTTATTAGAATCCTGCACATAGAATATCTTCACTGTACGTATTTCCCCATCCCTTCCCTCTTGGTCCCTGGACCCTTTCCTATCTACAAGAAACCCATTCTGTTTGCTTCTATCCTCCCTTTATCTTGTTTTGTTTTGGTTTTTTATTGGGGTGGGCTTTGGAGGTTTTTTTTGTTTGTTTTTGTTTTGTTTTGTGGTACTGGGAATTGCACCCAGGGCCCTCCCACTGAGCTACATCTCCAGTCTTTTCATTATTTTTTATTTTTATATAGATTCTTTCTGTGTAGCTACATTGCCCCAGCTGGGCTTGAACTTTGAACTCACACCGTCTACCTCTTGCGCTGGAATCTCAGGCCGAGGCTACCATGCTGGGCTCACCAATCCTTTTATATTTTTTATTTTGACATTTTCACTAAGTTTGAACTTATCCCCTGCCTCAGCCTGCTGTACTGTTTTTTTATGTTAATAAGTAGAGGTCTGATACCCAGAAATCTCTTAAACACATAAGATAATTAAAGAACTATCCCAGTACACATTTGGTTTTATAATGTGAAGAGCAGAAAAAGCTATATCTACCTCTACAAAGCAGATATAAAATTACTTTGTGTAAATGGACGTCCAGCGCTTTCATTTGTTTAATTTCCTGTTTGAAATAAAACAAAAGTGTTAGTGGGTAATGTGCTAGTGAAGAGACTTGTTTAAAGACCACCTTGTAAAATGAAAATATTTACACCGTTAAATGTGACCTACTACTGAAATTGCCTACTATAAATTAATCAGTAGAATTTTTAAATAGGAAGAGATCTGAGTTGTTTTGAAAGATTTCTTTCTACCCAAAGCAAGAAATATTTTATAGTCTTTCGAAGTGGACATCTAGTGTTTGCATTGCACCTCTGTTAACAAGAGCTTACTACCTCACAAGACCATTCATTGCATTGGGAAACCTGCCTTCTTTTTTCTTCTGTTCATTCTTTTACTTCTAAGTGCATTGAATATGGTAGACAAATTCCAGTTCTGATCCCTTTTCTGTGACTCTTGGGAGGCAGCTACTTAAACAAATTGGTTACCATAGCTCTCTTTAATTCATTTATAAGTTTTTCAAATTCCAGTTTATGAATAGTCCTATTATTATCATCATAGTTGGGCTAAAGAAGTCATAATAATACTTGGATTTTTTTATACATGGTGTGCTTTGAATTAATCCACATGTCATTTAACCCAGAGAACCTTTGCCTCAGGAATCCAAAAACCATTTTTAATAAAAATAAATTCTTTGGAGCTATTTAGTCATTTAGATCAGTCAACTAAGCCCATAATATATCTTTTTCAGCTGAATAAAATCATTGTTGTAGTATAGCTGTGCAGTTAGATTTTTTTTGTAGGTGACTTTACAAATAGCACTTCATCTTTACTTCCCTAGTTGTGTATTAATGTTTAATTCTGTCACCCAACATGTTAATCACCTGCCCCAGCTTTGTGTTATCTGTGAAAATAATGTTTAATAGGATCATAACGGTTAATGAAACAATTTTAAACTTTCAGGGTATGAAAAAGTTTTAAATGTGGCTGCAAGGCAGGATGGCATGGCAGACAGGCATTACAGAGGAAACAAGTCATGGCAGGCAGAAGGTAGCATAGCAAGCAAGAGAGAAAACAAGCCTCCTTCTGTCCCTTATATTATATATAGCCTACTGGGATTAGGCCGGTGCCAAAGTTATCAGTGGACTGATTTAGTAATCATCCACCTTAAATCCTAGCACCCTTAATCCTAGCACTGCACCATGAATCAGTCATACACTCTAGATTCAGCCACCTCTGAAAAGCCCCACCTATAACTGCATGAGGCTTTGAGGGACCATCTAAACACAAGCCATAACATTTATATTTAATTTAGCACACATTTTAGAATAATGTAAATCTTTTGTTGAATGAATACATCGGTTATTTTCTAAAAAAAAATTAAGAAATGTAGAACCACATGCTATCAGTACAAACACCTAAATTTCCCAGGAACATCCTAAAACAAATATAATTAGTCATCTCAATGCTCTTAGCCCTTTTATTTTCCCATTTTCCTTAGCTTTTTGGAATCTTATTTTTGCTCATTGTTGAATAATAGGATTGTGACACCCCAGATAATCCTTCCTCCTTCCTTCCATTATACTAGTTTACCACTCTCCTAATTCATATAGTTTTTGAAATTGCAGCCAAAAGAATGAGTAATTAGGAAAGAAATAAAAAAGATATATAGGAATGAAAGAAGTCAAATTATCTGTATTTATATACAGTGTAATAGAAGACCTTGAAAACTCTAGCAGAAGACTTTAAGATCCGATTAAACTAATTCAGAAAAGTGGCATGATGCAAAATCAGCATACAGAAGTCAATAACTTTCCTATAGACTAACAATAAACTCACCAAGAATGAAGTCAGTCAATCAATTCCACTCACAATAGCTTAAAAAAATACAATACCTAAGAATAAACCTAACCCATGAGGTGAAAGACCTCTACAGTGAAAATTATAAAATGCTGAGGAAAGAAATTGAAGAAGACATTAGAAAATGGAAAGACCACACTTGTTTATGGATCAGAGAATTAATATTATTAAACATCCATGTTACTAAAAGTGATAAACAGATTCACTGTAATCCCTGTCAAAATACCATTTTTTTGCAGGTCTAGAAAAAACAGTCCTAAAAAATATAAAAGACCCAGAATAGTGAAAGCAGTCCTCAACAAAAAGAGCAGTGCTGGAAGCATCACAGTAACCATTTTCAAAATAATACTAGAACCCAACCCATAGTAATGAAAACAGTATAATACTGGTCCAGGCACACAGAACAACGTCACACAGAAACAAACACCTGTCTGATTGCTGACAAATAATCATAAACATATACTAGAGAAAAGACAGCCTCTTTAACAAATGATGCTGGGAAACTGTCTATCCATTTGGTGAAGATTGAAACCATATCCCTCTTTCACCCAGTACTAAAATCAGTTCAGAATGGATCAAAGGAAACTGGAAATGCTAGCTGGGAAAACATAGGAGAGACGTGAACATAGGTAATGAAAAAAAATTCCATGATCATGTCACAGCACAGGCAGTTCCTTCCTGAATAGGACTCCAGTAGCACAGGAAATACTAGCAAGAATCAACAGATGGAAGTACATCAAATTAAACAGCTTCTGTACAGCAAAAGAAAAACAGTGAGAAGACAGTACCAAATAGAAGAAAACTATTGCCAGCTACTCTTCTGACGGAGGATTAATAGCTAGAATATACAAAGAATTCAAAACACTCACCCCCAAAAAATGAATAGCCCAATTGATAAGTGGGAAAATGAGTTGTACAAATGGCCAAGAAGAATATGAAAAAATATTGAACATATTGAATCATTAGGAAAATGCAAATCAAACTATAGAGATTCTATCTCACTCCAGTCAAAATGGCTATTATTGGTAATACAAAAAATAATGCTGGCAAGGATGCAAGAAAATAAGAAAGTCTTTTACATTGCTTGTGGAAATGTAAAGTATTATGACCACTGTAGAAATCAATAAAGAGCTTGCTCAAAATCCTAAAACTAGTGATACCATTTGATCCAGGTATAGCACTCCTCATTATATTCCTGAAACAGTGACAGCATACTATAGTGATACATTCATGCCCATGTTTACTGCTCCAAACCTTGCAATAGCTAAGCTATGGGAATAGCCTAGGCTTCTGTCAGCAGCGGGTGAATAAAGCAAATATGATATATATACACATTGGAATATTATTTAGCCATAAAAATAAAGTCATATCATTTGCAGGAAAATGGATGGAACTGGAGACCAGTTCCATGTTAAGTGAAATGTGCCCGACTCAGAAAGTCAAATACTGTATGTTTTTCTTATATGTGGAATCACAAAAAAGAGAGAGAGAAAGAAAAGGAAAGGTGACAAGAAAAGAAAGGAAAGATTATGAGATGAAGAAATGGATCAAGGACAGGGGAGAGGAGAGAAAAATGGGGTAACGGGGAGTAAAATAATCGTTATGCTATTGCGTGGACCAGTATGCCAAAATAAAACCTATTCTGTATAACTAGTACGCACAAATAACATTAACATGAAAACAAGACCCAGTTGTACATCTACAAGTAATTCACTCTCGATTTAAGGACACACACAGGCCAAAAAAAGCATCTCTTCTAGTACTGTACTTAGCCCATTTTTAAATCAAGCTTTTTTAATACTATTGAGTTACAGAAATTCGTTAAGCATTCCAGAGTTTTCTTTCCCACCATGATGGTTTGCAAATTTTTTTTCCCCATTTGAAGGTTGTCTTTTCAAGAGTTTGTTTCACACAGTGAGAAGCTGTGCAGCAGCTTTCTGTTTTGATGTAGTTCCAGTTCATTATTTTTGTCTTGTTACCTATGCTTTTGGTGTCGTACCCTGGTACATGGCCAAGACTAATGTCTTGCAAATCTTCCCCTAGTTGTTTTTTTTTTTTCTGGGAATTTTATAAGTATGAGTCTTAAATCCTTAATCCATTTTAGTTGATTTCTGTGTATGGTATAAGAAGATAAGGGCCAGTTTCATTCCTTTCAATGTGAACATCCAGATTCCCCCCACACCATTTATTGAGGACTCTTTTCCCCATATTGTATGTTCTTGGCATCTTTGTCAAAGATCAGTTAGCGATATATGTGGGGACTTCTTTCTGGAATCTCTGTTCTGTTCCATCAGTCTTTATGTCTGACTTTATGCTAGTGTCATACTGTTTTGATTTGTAATATATTTTGAAATCTAATTTTGTCATTCTTTCTCAAGACTAATTTGACTACTTACGGGCTTTTGTGTTTCCATGTGAATGTCAGGATTTTTTTTCTATTTTTGTAAAAGATGTTATAGAGATTTCTGTAGGGATTACATTGAATCTGTAAAGCACTTTGGGTAATATAGGCATTTTAACAATATTAAGTTTTGCAATCCTTGAACACATGATAACTTTTAACTAGTATCTTTAATCTCTATTTCCTTACTTGTGCATTAAGCTTCAAAAGTTCTCTTTTCTGTATTTTGTAGTTTTAGTATACAAGTCTTTTACCTCCCTGAATATGCTTAAAAAGAATTGTCATGTACAAATCTTTAGTGTGGTAGTAAATAGATACCTTAAAAGATACATGAGAAGCTAAATTTCTCTATCATAATCCCCACAGCTGCATATTTACTTTATCTGATAGGATGTCGCTGTGTTCCTCAGGCTAGTATTGAAATCCAGGGCTAATAGGCTGTCCTCCTGCCTCAGTCTTAGGTGGACGCCATTGTGCCTTGCACAAGTCCACGGTAGTTTTTCCTGTGACCGGCAATATTCCATCTCTTCACAATCACAGTGTTCCACTTACTGGGGTTAAGGGGTCTGTAGGATCTTTAATTTAGCTGAGGCTTCTTCAGGGAATTTCAGCTTCACAGTGATCCGGTGAAATGTGGGGAAGGGAAGGGAACCTCCTCAAGGCGCACCTCCCCCAGGCACCTTGTGTGTTCAGTGATGCTCAACACTCCAGACTCCATTTGTTTATTTATTTTTTTATTTTTTAAATTTTTTTAAAGAGAAAAAGATAAACAGTAAAACCGAGTTTTGAAACAGGTTAGTAGGATAGTTCCAATAGTTGATACATTGTGTGTTGTTACCTTCCTAGTAGTTAATCAGAGTACAGGATGGAGACTTCCACTATGTAAAGGTGATTGTTTGAATCATTAACTATTACGGAGGAACTTGGCTCCTTGTCCTCTCCTTGGATTTTGGAGTAGAAGGCTGGCGGACCTGAGAATTCCAGCCCTCTAATTGTTCCCTGGCAACCAGCCCCAGTCCTGCATCTTTCTAGGAGCCCACAGGCACAGTTGTCTCATTAGCATATTACAAGACTCCACTAAATTGGACATTCTAAGGCTTCTGGGAGCTCTTTATCAACAAACTGAGCTTGCCAAATATATTTCTTAGTGCAGATCACAATATCACAGTGCCCAGTATGTCATCCACTTTTCTTTTTTCTTGTTTTTAACTTTCTGTATCTTATAATCTACCTGTCTCTCAATACTCTACCCTTTTTCTGCATGTGATAGTTGTTCTTTTAAATTGTACTTTAGATTGAATACTAAATTCTGGCACTTAGTAATCTTTCCTAGATAAAGATTAAAATTTCAGACTTTATGTTTCAATAAAGGTATTCAGTCATTCAGTCCTCAAAGATACAGATACCTCTGTGGTACTAAATTATATATCAGGCATTGGAAGTTCTGGAAAAAATGGTCCTTAAAAATACTCATATTATATCCAGGAATATGTGAACTTTAAATAAAATTTTTAAATGTAATCCGTTCAGTGTATAGGTATATATTGTTTATCAAAATGAAGGAATAAAATAGTTGATTTTTGACTGAAAGTGAGTAGACTGATCAAGGTGTTAAAGAATGAATGTAGACAGAATGAGGATATTGCAGGCAAAGGAAATGCAGTAGTGTGTTAAAAAAAAAAAACCAAGAAGTCATGAAATTGAGTAGAGGGTGAGAGAAGCACAGTGCAAAGTACCTCAGTAATTTTAGCATTTTAATAAGCATGATCTGTTGGGACCAGAAGAGAATAAAATCAAGACCATCAGGTAAGGAGTAACTATAATTTATATGTGATGGGAAAGGTATTTGTACCCTCATCGTAAAACCAACACTTTTGGGGGGGAAAAAAATCACTTTCCTTAACAAAAGCTTTTTTGCACTGAGAAGACTAGTTCGTATTTTACTTTGGATTCCTTCATAAGCAAACCCTGAGGAAAAGCTTCCAAAGCATGTCCTCTATTCTAGAGGTAATACCAGGGAGCACCAGTACGGTTTGGGGAAATGAGACCAAGAAGAGAAAGCAGCCAGTAAAAGGCACTAAGTTAGAACTGTAACTAAAACTTAGTTCCACCAACGAGCTCTGAAAGTTAGAGTAGAACACGGGCATCGTGTATTCCACCCATGGAACAGGGAATGTGGGTGATGTGTACTGCTTCCTTCAGTCATGTACCACTCTTCTGTAGCAGAATGGAGCATTAATTCTGTGACACTTGCAGACTTCTGCATGGGAGATGAGCAAAACAGGATCAGGTGGCCAGAGAAAGCTGTAAGACACAGAAGGAGAGTGCAGGTAGTTTGAAGTGAAGCAGGTATCCATGCAAGTAAAGGTGAGAAAGGAAGGCCAGAGTGACATTTGTCTTCAAAAAAGGTAATCATGGTCATGGATCTCACCTCATCTTTTCTACTTATATGCTTTATGTTATTCTTTATAGTTTTCAATGTTCTAATCCTGAATTTTTTGGTTTTTCCCCCCTATTGCAGACTAACCAACACTTTCTGAAAACAGTAACTGAGCAAAATGTGGAAATGGAACAGCTTCGAAAACAACTTAGGTATTTTCAAAAATGAATTTTCTTAATTAGTGATTATTTTTCTTCAGAGGAACTGATGAAAACACAAATTTTCATGTGGATTTTTATCGTTCTCCTTTTTATTGGGCTCCTGTCAAAACCTTTTTGTACTTTGACCATCGAGCACAGGAAGAGACTGAAATCAAAATGGTTAGTAAGAAAGTAACTTTAACATGTGGAGGGATAGATATATCGTGAGGGTAAACCGTAGTGTGGACGTAGTATGGACAATAATCAGTTCTTAGAAAATAATTGTCCTACACATAGAAGCACAATTTTTTGTCCTTTGGGCTCCCAAGGAAACAGACCCTAAGAAAAGGACTCCAAAACTCATTGTTTCTTTAAGAGGTGATTTTGAGGAACTACAGTAGGAAAGTGGGAGAAGTGAGACAAGGAAGAGAAATCAGCCAATATAGATGGTTCTGAACCTGTGGTGGGATTACATCCCAGTAAAACCATCTTACATTGAAAATAGCCTAAGTCAAAAATGCATGTAACACACCTAATATGGAGTGGAATGGCTCACAGAACTCAGGAAAGCACTGTATTTATGGTTCCAGTATCATATAATGGACACAAATCAGTACTGGCCAAAAGAAAAAGCCTATAAGCCAGTGATGGCGATCCTTTTTTTAGAGATGACTGCTCAAACTGTAGCCCCAACACCTCCTTATTTATTGCAAAGTGCCAACATTGCGATTAAACCTGAATATTGAGGTTTTAGTGTAGAAAACAACTCATACATTAACATGTTTTGTCTTAAACAAGCAGCACATGTGCCAGAATGTTCTCCCCCCCTGCCTAGGGTGGTGTCTCAGAGGATGCAGAGCTTCCACATCCTGTACTAGTGGAACTGAGTTGTGTCACCATCCTAGCATAGCAGTGTGTTTACTGGGCACGAAGCTCACTCAGGCCTCTGTGTGCAGAGCTTTCACTAGTGTTTATTACAAGCATACCTTTGATTAGACCATTCCACAGCTTGAATTAAATCTCCAGCCCCCTCACTTCCTTAGAGATCGGGAGGTTGGACCTGTATCACGTGGCGCAAAGCCCCAGGCCTCTAATTACACAGCTGCTCTTTCCAGCGTGGCCAGCACCAATCCTGTAGCCATCTGGGGGCCAACCGTGACTCAGTGTAAGCTTAAGGAGAGTCCAATGTCTTAACATAAGTGATAAAAGTAATTTCGTCACTCAGGAAATACCAGGGGTTTAGAAGTTCTATCCTTGGCGTCTAGGGCAAAGTGTAGACAGATTATTATACAACTATGATACAACCCAAGAGAAAAATATCTCATGACCTTTAGTTTAGAGAAAACTATGATTAATTTTTAAGTATATAACTTAAGTTTGTGTGTATCTTTAAGTCTTTTAGTAAAAAATGAGATAACATAAACACTGTTTAATAGCTGAGTTTCCTCACTTATATGAAATATATATATATATATATCCATTTTGCAATGTTGGGGTTAATATTATCAGTTAACGTTGCATATGTGTGTGTGCTACATTTATTACTCAAATTATTACTTTCTGTCCACTGTTATTCCTATATCAGAATTAGTAGAATTCTGTTATTCCTATATCAGAATTAAGGACTGCCTATTTATTAACATTAGAATTAGAAAACATTACAGTAGTGAGTGTACAATAAACACCCCTAAGTTGTTAAATAATATTTTGTTGCTAATATTCATAATGTAAAAGTGAAACTTACCTGACTTAGAACATTTAAGTAATTAAAATCCACCTTGGTCACATTTTTTGTTATGTTTTTGAAATTTCCTTTAAATTATTTTATAGTAAAAACACTAGATGTTAAAGCAAAAACTGACCAATACAGGGCATGGTGGACAAATCTTTGTAAAAATATAGACTCACAATGACTGATAAACAAAAGCAAGTAATAAATAGAGGATGTGAATAATGTGATTAGCAATTTGTTACAGAAGGCATCTTAGCATTGAACTCATGCATTCTTCAATAATCATTTGGTTAACATTTACTATGTCCCAAGCTCTGATCTTGGTACATGGGTTACATCAATTCATGGTACAGTACAGTTATAGGATTTTTTCTTTTTATAATTTCTAGCAGAAGTAGACAGACAATAAAAGAATATAATATTCAAATAAAAGAAGTTAGGTAGTAAGAGTTACAGAATAGTGGAAAAGATCAGGGTAAGAAATTTTTGAATGCAGTTACACTTTTAAATAGAGTATTCAGAGTAATCCTTATTTATAGGTTAAAATTTGAATAAAAGTGTGAAAGATATAAATAAATTAGGTATACAATGGAGGGCAGTTTTGCAAGTAAAGAACTAGAAACTGCAGAGGAAAGAACACCAAGGAAGCTAGATGTGTGTTTGCTATTTCTGAGTAAGAAACCAGTCTAAAACTTTGTGGCTCACAGCAGTGCTTTGCTTTGATTATTATTTGGGAGACCCACAACGGATTTCCTTATCTGGGGCTGCGAGGCTGATATCTGCTGAACTTGCCTGTCTGTCTCCAGCCGTCCACTCGCGGGATGGTCTCGTAGGCTGCAGTGATGGCCAGCCTGTCTGGCGATTGGCACATCTTACCAGGACCACAATAAAAGTCTTTCTCCTTTGCTTGACTATGGCAAGGTCCCAAGAAAAACAAGAGAGCAAACGCCACAGGCAGATACTCCTTTAAGCCTCTGTTGAATCATGGTTATTAATACTCCACGGGAAAGCAGTTCATGTGGACAACCCAACTTCAAAACATGGAGAAAGAAATACTTGTCTTGAAGGAAGATTTTCAACTTCATATTGCAGAAGTGTAAATGTAGACGGGGAAGATTTGTGGCCATATTTACTCTTTCCTGCTAGTATCCCTGGAGCAGAGTGAGCAAGGAGAGAGTTACAGAGCATGAGACCAGAGCGGTTACGCAGGGTGACACACAGTGCAGGACCTTGTAGGGCGTTGTGAGGACTTCGGTTTTTGCTGTAGATGAAATGGGAATAGTTTTCAGCAGCAAATTGGCCTATCTGCCTTATATTTTCATGAGAACGTAGCTCTGCCAGCCATAATGAAAGTAGACGGTAGAGAGGCAAAGTAGAAGCAGGGAAACCGGTAAGGAGGCTAGTGCAGTAACCCAGGCTGATACCACACTGCCTTGACCCTGGTCGTAGCAGTGGGGTATGGTGAGGTGTGGCTGAATTCTGTATGTGTTATTTAATGTTTTCATGGTAGATGCTAGAAGGTTCCCTCATAGTTACATGGAGGCAACAGGGAGAGAGATACTAAGGCATCGAGGATGACACCAAGACTTTTCCTTGAGCAACTGGAAAAATGTTGCCATGGACTGAGAAGTCTGTGTCGTTTTCCTTATTGAGAAGTAAGGAAAAGGAGGATGAATCAGCAAAGAAGCTGGGAAGATACCAGTGAGATAAGAGGAAAACCAAGGGAAATATAGTGTCCTAAGAGCCAAATGAGGGAAGTATAGCAAGGAATGACCATTGAGTCACGTGCTGATGATTGATAAAGTAGAATTGAACATTGAAGTTAGCAAAGTGGAGGTTATGTTACTTCCCTAGGGCTCCTATCGCAAATTACCACAAAAGTGGCGACTTAAAATAATAGAAATGTATTCTCTTCTAATTCGAGATAGTATAAATATGAAATCTCAGCAGCAGGAACCTCTCTCTCTAAAGCTCAAGTGGAGAACTCTTTAGGGAAGACTCTTTCCTTGTGTCTCACAGCTTTACGTGGCCTGCAGTATTCCTCAGATTGTGGCAGCATAACTCCAATCTCTGCGTGTCTTTCTTCCTCTTATCTATGTTTCCTGTGTGCCTTCTCTTCTTATAAACATACAAGTCTTGTGATTTAGAGCCCACATCAAATCCAAAATGATTTTATCATGAGACCTTTCCTTTAATTAATCTGCAAAGACCATATTTTCAAATAAGGTTTTGAAAATAAGGTTTTGGAGGTGGGAGGAGTGCTGTTCAATGAACCACAGAGATCACTGTGATTTTGACAGAAGCACTGTAGAATCTACCTTCTTCTTTGTGTCTCTACAAAACATTAAAGAGCGTTCATTGCATTTGGGACTATAAAGCATAATTCTTAATTTTTAAGGGTTGATTTAACATAGACCTACAGTTTTCTAATGACAGTACTATTAGGTTATAAGTCAGTCACAAAGATATATCTAGATAATTACCATTTTTGGAATTTAAGAAGCATATTTATCCATAGCTTAACCATTTGGTACAATTCCAGTCAAAAACATAGTAAGATTTCTGTAGAATTTGAAAAGCTGACTCTAAAATTTATATAGATATATAAAAGGTCAAAAATAGATACACAGCTTTGAAGTGGAAGCACAAAATAGAGGAACTTCTTAAAACATAAAGATTTACTTTATGAAAAGGTAAAATTATGGTATTGGTATATGGTAGACAAGCTAAATGAAGTAGAGAGGGCAGAAACAGACACACACTAGCAGGAACTGTTGTATTTCCCAAACATGGCCACGAATCCTTCCTTTCTACTTTTATCTATGCCCTTCACAATTTTTGTGGCATCAAGAAGTAGCGTAGTAGAAGTGCTAATTTTCTGGCAAGTAGGATGTCATGCCAGATAGGCTAAACAATATATAGTACAAATTGAACTTACACACAATCTGAGCAGATTGATCAATAATTTATCGACTGTAGAAAGAAAATAGGGTTTAATGAGGTTTTTAATTATGGTATATATTTCTTTATTAAAAAACAATGAGCAGGAAGATAGAACAGTACTTTTGCCGTTCCACTCCTTCTGCTAAGTACAACTTAAAACCCTGGCCATTATATACAAAATAAACATAGGAAGACCTAGCTACCTGGAGAGCTAAGAAATGATACCATAGTGAATTCCTTCTTGTTTTTCTTTTATACCTCATGTACACCAGACTTGAAACTGAAGAGACTAGAAACCTGACAATATCACATGCACACCAAATAAAATCCCCAACCA